AGTTATTTTGTCCAACACTGAGCATCTTTTCCAGAGTTCCCCTCTGCTCTGAGTATGACCAACTTCCCATATAGAAGTGCTTTAAATGTACTGCTGACTTACGTATTTTTCAGTCACCCAGGTCTAATGAGTATTACTTCAGTGCTGGTGAACAGAATGAATATTTATTTTTAGAAATCTCTTTTTGCCAACATCAAGTATTTCTGAAAGATCACTAATTAAACTCTAGATTTGAAAAAGTAATTAAAAATATTTAAAAAGTTAGAAGTTACATCTGTGGCCACTTCAGTTTGAAAAACACATTGGGTGCATGTGCATACATGTCTAAATTTCAACGGTGGAGGGTGGGGGTGGAATAGAAAAGGGATTGTAGTATGACCATGCCCCAGGGGTGTGCTTTCTCATTTTCTCTTTGGCAAGAACCCTCTGGCAAATTAATTTAAAAAATTACAGGACCAGCAGTTAGCATAATGGCTATGTCGCTGGACTGCCACGTAGTCGTCCACAGTTCTCATCCCGGGCCCGGTGGCTTAAAACTCACGCCGGGCGCATGTGCATGTGTGCCCAAGATCCCGAGAGGAGAATGGAGGAGAAGAAGGGATTGCAGTGTGGCCATCCCCCCTGGGGAGTGATTTCTCGCTTTCTGTCTCTCTGTCTCTCTCTGTCTGTCTAGCGAGCACAGGCGCCCTATAGCAAAAAACCTTTCCAAAAAATAAATTAATTAATTTAATAAAATAAAAAATTACATGTTCATCTTAATAGGTACAGAATAAGAGTTTGACAACATTCAACACACGTTTTTGATAGAAACTATTAACAGGACCATCCAGGTGTTGCAGTGGTTAAGGTACCTGGATCTTGCATGGTCAATTCCTTGGTTCGAGCCCTGGACATGATGGCTTCAAGAACATGCCACGTGCATGTGTATACATGCACAAAATCCTAAGAGGAGACTGGAGAAGGGATTGTAGTGTGGGTATCCCCCCCAAAAGGATCATTTTTCACTTTTTCTCTCTCTCTTTCTGTTTCTCTCTGGGAGTGCACACATACTATAGCAAAAATGAAAAAACAAACAAACAAACAAATAAACAAAAAACCTGTCAACCAAAAATGAACAGAAAAATGAACAGAAGGAAAGTACCTCAACGTAGAAAGGCCATATATTAAAAACCCATAGCTAACACACTTGACATTGAAATACTGAAATTTCTTCCTCTAAAATCAAGAACAAGTAAAAGGTACCCCATCATGCATTTGTATTCAACATTGTACTAGAAATGTTAGCCAGGAAATTATGTGAGAAAATTAAATAAAACATATCTTAATTGGGAAGGAAAGGTAAAATTATTACTGTTTGCAGATGACATTTTCTTATACTGAAAAATTTCTGCAGACTCAGCCCAAATGCTGTTACAACAAATAGACAGATTTAGAATAGTTGCACAATACAAAATCTACATACAACATTAGTAGTGTTTCTATACTAACAACAAACCATCTGAAAAGAAACCAGAAAAACAATCCTATTTATAATAGCACTGAAAAAGAATGAATTATGTAGGAATAAAGTTAAGGAAGGAAATGAAACACTCGTATACTAGAAACTGTAAACATGGGTAAAAATAATTTAAAAACACAAATGGAAAGATTATTTTATGTTCATAGATTGGAAGTATTAATATTTTAAAAATACCAATATTACCCAAAGCAACCTAAAATTCAATACAATTCCTATAAAATCTCAGTGGCCTTTTTTACAGAAATTTTAAAAATCTATAATTCGTATGGAGCTAAAGGCATAACCAAAGGAATCATTTTTTTTTCTTTTTGAGAGGTTTTTCACTATAGGGCGCGTGCGCTCGCCAGACAGACAGAGAGAGGCAGAGAGACAGAAAGCGAGAAATCACCCCCCAGAGGGGATGGCCACGCTGCAATCCCTTCTCCTCCATTCTCCTCTCAGGATCTTGGGTATGCACGCACACGCGCCCAGCATGGGTTTTAAGCCACCGGGTCCAGGACGCGAACTGCGGTCGACTACATGGGAGTCCAGTGACATAGCCATTACGCTAACTGCTGGTTCCCCGCCAAAGGAATCTTGAGAAAGAAGATTGATACTGGAGGCATAATGCTTAGAGATTTCAAAATATATTACAAAGCTACAGTAGTCAAAATTGTATGGTACTGGCATAAAGACAGACATATGGGCCAGTGGACAAGAATAAAAAGGTTAGGATAAAAACATCTTTGGTCTTCAGTAAAGGTGCCACAGATATACTATGGGAAAAGGATTGTCTCTTCAACAAATGGTACTGGGGAAACTCGATATCGATATGCAAAGAAATTAAATTGGATTCTTATTTTATACCATACACAAAGCCCAACTCAAAACAAATTGAAGACTTTAATGTAGGACCTGAAACTACAAACTCCTAAAAGAAAATCTAGGGAAAACTTCATGGCATCAAACTGTCAATAATTTCATGGATATGACATCATAAGCACAAAGCAATCAAAAGTGAACAAATAATACTACATGTGGCTCTGTACTACAAAGGAAACAGTTAATAGAGTGAAAAAGCCATCCTCAGGATGAGAGAAAATACTTGTAAGCCATATATGTAATAAGAGGTTAATCTTTGAAAGTACGTAAAATGTATTTATTGTACCTCAATAGCAAAAAATAACTTTTCGCCAAACATTTTAATTACTTTTAGGAAAAGACAATAGTATATCATTAGCCATTTCTTGGCATCATAAATTTTGTATGATTCTTTTACACACCTTGTTTACCACCATGATATCCTGATTGTAGCCCTACTAAGCCACTGATTAAAATGAGATTCAGATCTTCTCACAGGTCATCAGTCTCTTCCTCCTGTTTTCCCAATATTCCTTTACCCACACAACATTTTAACCATCAAAACCCTAAAACTTTAGAAAGTATTGTCACTTTGGACACCCTGAGAAAGCAACTTATAATTTTTGTCACATTCAAATGAGAAAAACGTTATTTTACTATTAGATTAATAATAAATATTACAAATGGTAGTGTTAAATAAAATTTTTTAATATTGGAATATTCTATCACAGAACATTTTAATAGAGCAGTAAATATGGATTATATACTGATACTTAATAATAATAAGTGGAAAAATCACTACTGGACCAGATCCATGGCACAGCTATGAAGAGCTAAGAGAAGCCAAATCTCACAAGGGGGCCAAGATCCAAATCACTGGCTGATCAACCTGAAGCAAGCCTGGCTTACGAATAAGTGTCCTAGAGCCAATGGCTGGAAGATTAGGAAAAGGGAACAGACACGCTGTGACCAGACCTTGTGGAAGGTGCTTCTCTTTGTCTCTCATGAATGATCTATCATAAAGGAAAAAAATACTATGAGAAGTAGGGTGAAAATTTGCAATTTGTTAATAGCCAAGTCTAATGAAATGTACTAGTGTTTTATTTTTTACTGTAATATCACATATTGAAGTGAAAGTAAAATTTTAGTCTATCTTTAATAGTCATTTTTACCGACAGAAAAAATTACTTTTTACTTTTTCAAAATTTCCTTATGTTTTATTTTATTTTTGTCATCTATATTTATAATCTTCTAGTTTCCAAACTTCGGAAAAAAATTACTCTTGCATAAAGTTAGCTAAGCATTTAGGAAAAAAATGTTTCTGTCTTATCCAACCAGTGTTGATTCAACCAGTGCTTCGTTGTCATTCTTGTGTCTACTAATTACAAAGCAAAATGTTTTCATAAAAAATTATGTTCATGTTGGGGAAAATATAATATCTTGTTTTTATTAGTTTCTGAAATAGCATATTTATTTCCATATTATTTCAAAAGCAGAAACAGAAGTTGTATTCAAAACTCTTTTTAAAATAATAATTACTTTATTTAACTTTATTTATTTACTTTAATTTGACCAGAGAGGGGCAGAATGTGTGTGAGAGAGAGAGAGAGAGAGAAAGAGAGAAAGAGGAAAAGAGAGAAAGAGAAAGAATGTGAGAAAGCAAGCCAACAGGTCCGGGACTGTAATCGTGGTCGGCCATGTGGGAATCAAGCACCCTTCATCTTCATACCACCTGCTGGTCCTGAAAATATTTTTTGAATACAGACATTATTGTATTTATTTAGTCACACATTTTTTGAGTATTTTACCATGTAATGGATCGTCAAAAGCTTCATGAAAAGTGTATAGTCTGAAAACACTATGCATGGATTTAAATTTGTTTACACCAAAATAAACCTATACTTTAATTTCATGTTTCAATAAACTTTATAAAGTTTCCTTTTACAGTATTCTCTTTCAAGTAAAATCTAATGTATTAAATCATCTTTTTTTTTATTGAGAGCTGTTTTTTTTTTTTTTTTTTTTTTTGAATAGGGAGTGCGCACTAGCCAGAGAGACAGACAGAAAGAAAGGAACCACCCCCCCCCCCAGGGTGGCCACACCACAATCCCTTCTTTTTCATTCTCCTCTTGAGATCTTGGATATTAATGCACATGTGTCTGGCGTGAGTTTTAATTCACCAGGTCTGGGACTTAAACCACAGTCGACTATGTGGGAATCCACTGACTAACCATTATGCCATCTGCTGGTCCCTGACTAAATCATCTTTTTAAAACTAAGTATAGGGACCAGCAAATGGCATAGCTGTTACATTGTTGGATTCCCTCAGGGCCAACTGTAGTTCAAGTCCTGGTGGTTTGAAACTCATGCCGGGCACATGTGTGTGCATGTTTCAAAAACTGGGAGGACAAGGGATTGTGGTGTGGCCATCTCCTCCCTGGGGGTGATTTCTCACTCTGCCTCTCACTGTCTCTGTCTCTTCTTTCTCTGTCACTCTCACTGGTAAGTACACATGCTCCAAAGCAAAAACCCCTACAAGAAACCGACAAAATAACTAACTATAGGGAAGCAGCATCTGTCTTCATTTTCCATACTATGAAGTTTTTAATTAACAGAAAACCACCATGGGTTGCTTCTTTAGAATACCATTAAATGTTAGAGACATCGTCTACTGTACAGGAGTATCACTACTGGATGAGGATGTCTGGGAATTCATATGGATGAAATTCCACTCCACCACAGCAGTTTCTGAGAAGAAAATATTATTGGAAGCTTTAACATGCAGTGATGACAGGAATTTATTAAATAGGTGGGTCAATTTATTTTTGAAGTTTAGTTGTGCAGTAAAAGTATGCTCCATAGTCAAACTGATCTGAAGTTGCTTATATTTCCTTGAATGTATGTTAGTTATTCTAAAATGTATCTTTCTAAAGATAAGGGGAATTACCAGGTTAACATAAGTAAAGCTATTTGACTTTGAGAGATTTATCCTTATGACTATTTCATGTAATTTTTCTCTGTGTATAAGCAAGAAAATATTTGATATGAAATAAATGTTATTATAAAAGATTTTAAGGGGGAGTTCATCTCATCAAACCAGAATAGTGATTTCTCTATCCACACATTTTTTTGAGTTTAATTAATATATTTAACTAAAGTACTGTTATTTGATCTCCCCCCTTTTATAATCAGACATTTGTTCTGTTGATAAATTTGTATTACTGAAATTTTCACTGGACTATTTACCTGAAAACTATGTCATTTTAGGTCATGTAATTTTATTAAGATTATAAAAATGTTTAAATTATTGAACTAAAATGTTCTCCACAATTCTACTCTTATAGGCTTCTAAATCTGTCACTAAATTCGGAGGTGGTGCTGGATCAAGATGCAATTGATGTGATAATTCATGTAGCTCGAAATCCACATGGCCGAGACCTTGCCTGGAAGTTTTTCAGAGATAAATGGAAGATATTAAATACCAGGTAGAAATAAGGATTCAATCATTCATACTTGAATAAGTAAATTAAAACTGACATGTAAGGAATAAAGAAAGACCCAGGTTTTGTGTTAGAGCTATGACCCAAATAATAAAATTAGGTTTTGAAAGAGTCACCAGAATGGACATTGCCACTCCTGTGGAACACAGGATTACTTTAATAATTCTGTAACATTATGCATTTATTAAAGATGGATAAGCTTGATTAATTACATGTAGAGAAGTGACGAGTGCAAAAGGTCTAGCAGAGCAACTTTCAAGGAAAATCTGTCAAACTGTCTAAAGTTGAAGAAATTGTATGAAACTTCTATATCCTAAATGCGTTACAGAAAAAGTGACTTATAAATCATATCATGGGAAGATATAATGGTATTATAACAAGAAAACTTTACTTCTATAGAATTGTTTTAAATTTCCCTTAAATAGAAATATCATAAAACACCTGAAATGAAACCATGATGTAGAAAAGGAGCACTGATCATCTGAGCCATTATATGATTCTAGTTGCAGTAGAATTTAATCCCGGGACATCTTGATTCATGATGAGAATTCTGGAGGCTCAATTTTAGAAAACATTTCATTATGTATTTAAATATATTATAATAAATGCTAATTTATTACTTTGATAATCTCTATGGTATTTTAAAATTAAATTTATTATAGCGAATGTAAATGCTGCATGTTTTCCTTCAGTCTTAAATGTTCCAGACAGCAAGCAGATCTTCTGTTCTGTCTTTTAAAGCTGGTATATAAGCTTTACTATTTATAAGCGTACCTTTATCAGTTGCCCTGGTATAATGAGTTCAATTGTAATCTATGTGTCATATTAAAACGCATTTCTGTCTGCAGAGATTTTCCTGTCAGGAAGCACAGATATTTCTATAAGGCACATTGACTTTTTAATATTTCCATTCAGTTCAGAACTTAGAGAGATTGGAAGATTAGAGCTTGCTTTGTTGTCACGCATATGGCAAAGTGAATAGTCAGACACTTAAGGGGAAGTTAATAAGTTCAGCATTTCACTTTTCACTTTGACAGCTCTCTACCAACACACAGGGTTCTTTTAGGGAGTGGTTTCATATATCAGAGTTCTGGGAATATCAGAGGTGTATGTAGTTTATTTACTTACCAGAAAATGTTTGGGTCCTGATAGGTAGGCACATTTTGATAGGCATAGTTTGTCTCCCTGAGAGGCCATGATCTCTAGCCAAAGAGTAGAAAGGCTGGGATTTCATAGTATCTACAAATAGGGTAATATTTATCTTGACAAATAGGAGTGTTTTCAGATCCTACTCTTCTGTCAATCCTCGAACATTGTAGTTTGAGGATGCTCTGGTGAAGGTACTCTTCCCACACTGCAGGATTCTTCCTGCTTTGAGTTGTCATCTACTCTCATAATTTCACTCACTCCCAAATCTTTCTTTCTTTTTCTTTTCTTTTTTTCCTTCTTCCTCTTTCTCTTTCTTTCTTTCTTTCTTGCTTTCTTTTTCTTTTTCTTTTTTTTTTTTTTGAGAGGTTTTTGCTATAGGGTTCATGTGCTCTCCAGAAAGACAGAGTGACAGAGAGACAGAAAGCGAGAAATCACCCCCTTCAGGAGGGATGGCTACACCACAGTCCATTCTCTTCCATTCTCCTCTTGGGATCTTGGGCATGCACATACATGCACCCAGCATGAGTTTAAGCCACCGGGTCCGGGACTCGAACTGTGGTCATCTGGTCATCTACATTGGAGACCAGTGACATAGCCACTTTGCCAACTGCTGGTCCCCCAAATCTTTATCTTTATTCAGACAATTCACATATGCATCACCCTATAATTGATAGTTGACCCCTGAGGTCCTTTACTGGAGTGTGCCTGCTAGTCTGAAGTCATCATTTTCCATGGTCTTCCTTTTCTCTGTAAATCTTGTAGCCATCCACCAAATGCTCAAGGTAGACATCCTGAAGTCTATATTGGCTTCCCCCTTCCCTTTGCTATATGAGGGGACTTGCTATACAAGGGGACTTTATTTTAATTGCAAAAAATTATTAAAATTCATTCATAGTATTTTCATAATATGCATTTTCCATGAAACTTTTGAACAATTTCTTTTTAAAATTGGAAGAGGGCATGTGCTATCACTAGAAAGGAGAGAAAGCAGCACCCAGTGGGACATGGTCATGACGCAGTCCTTTTTTCTCTGTTTCTGCATTCCTCAGGATTTGGGCATGCATGCGCACACACACCTATTCTGTTTGTCAAGTCATGAGGGCCAAGATTTGAACCACGTAGGACTAGTTTGGTACACACAGCGCTTAACTACTGTGCTATAGGGTTGACCTTTCATGAACTTTTTGAAGAATTCTATCACATGACAGGTAGTCTTGCTTTTTCAATTTAACAATTTTCAAATATTTCTAAATTCTTCTCCTTTCTGGCTACTGATGCCCTAGTGCAAGTTTTTAATCTCTTGTTAGTCTCCCTGACTCTATAATTAAACTTAGCACTACAGATACACCTAAAATCATTCTCTTCTCTTTGTTCCAAGAATATTTCTGAAAAGAAAATGTGATCTTTTTCTGTTGTAAAACTTTCGATGGTTTTGTGAAATTTTTTTTTTTCAGTGGACATGTGCACTTGCCTGAGAAAGAGAGAGAGAGAGAATCCCCTCAATGGGATATGATCATGCCGAAATTGTTTTCCTGCATTTCTCTACCCTGGCAGAATTTTGAGCATGCATGAGCTACCAAGGCCAGGATTTTTTTTTTTTTGGAGAGGTTTTCACTATAGGGCGCGTGCGCTTGCCAGCCAGACAGAGAGAGACATAGATACAGAAAGCAAGAGATCACCCCCCAGGGGGAATGGTCACACCACAATCCCTTCTCCTCCATTCTTCTCTCGGGATCTTGAGCACGCACGCACATACGCCCGGCGTGAGTTCTAAGCCACCAAGTCCGGGACGCAAACCGTGGTTGACTACGTGGGAGTCCAGCGACATGGCCATTACGCTAACTGCTGGTTCCCCCAGGGCCAGGATTTGAACTGCAGTTAGATGTATGGGATCCAGCTTTCTATGCACAGTAATTAATTACAGTGCTACAAGGCCAGCCCTTACTATCCGCTGTATAGCTCCTCAGTCTTTTGTTCTTTTATCCCAAGCCTTACAGTTTATGTCCTCTTAATACCAAACTTTTGGTAGTTCTCTGCACACACAATATTATTTCATAATTCTTTGCTTTCGTTTATGCTCATCCTCTTTTTAAAATTACTTTCTTTTCTGCCTGTTAGAACTACTTTTAACTCAATCTGTTGATAGATGCGATCATCCCCCAGAAGACGCTCCTAGCCCCCATAGCTAAAGAGACTCTCCAAGCACTGTGTGTGACTTTATCATCACCACATTTAGCCACATTAAATGGAAATGACCTTTTTTTATGTCTAGCTCTTCATCTAGACAGAATAATATATTCAAGGAAAAGATTGTGCCTTATTCGTCTTCAAGTGAAAGCATAAGTAAAAACAACTGATAGTCCCTTAGGAAGAGATTTTTGTCTTTCCGGATAATAGCCCACATTTGTAATTGCATGCTCATTACTAAAGATCACATATATTATTGAAGGCCTATTTCTTTGGTATATTATTAAGTGCCTATTTGTTTGCTTTAACTTAGCTAATTTATTATTTATTTATTTAATTTTTTGGAGAGTTTTTTCGCTATAGGGCGCATGTGCTCGCCAGACAGAGAGAGACATAGAGACAGAAAGCGAGAAATCACTCCCCAAAAAGAAAAATCACGCCACAATCCCTTCTCCTCCATTCTCCTCTCGGGATCTTGTGCACGCACGCACACGTGCCTGGCGTGAGTTTTCAGCCACCAGGTCCGGGATGCGAACCGTGGTCGACTACGTGGGAGTCCAGCAACATAACCATTACGCTAACTGCTGGTTCCCAGATAATTTATTTTTTATGGAATAGTTCAGTGTTAGAATTATAATAAATTGTGGTGATCATCTAGTATAGGCTAGAAAACTAAGTTCTGTAAAAGGTAAGTTTCTTAAGGTCTCAAAAGTTAGAGTAGTATTAGAAAATCTCTTTTGTGTTGGTGGCTAGAACTCAATCTACAAAAACAGTTATTTATTTATTTGTTTATTTATTTATACCTGAGGGTATGTGCCCCTGTGGGAGAGAGACGGAGAAAAAGAGAGAGAGATTGACAAAGGGAAAGTGAGAAAACACTCTCCATGGGGGACAGTCTTCCTGCAATCCCTTCTTCTCTATTTCTCCTTCCTTTCAGGATTTTGGGCACACATGTATCCTTGGTGTTTCTCAAGTCACTGGATATGGGACTTGAACTGCGTGGTTGGCCATACGAAATCCAGTTGCCTTAACTACCATGCCACTGACTGGAGTCTCATTTTTAAAGTGCTTTCCTCAGTTATAAGACTATACTAACTTGACATAAGTATCCTTACCATAGTGAAAACAAGTCAGTAAAATGAGAATTCTTTCCAACTCACTGACATAAATTGTTCCTTGCTTTGGATCATATGTCAAGTCATTGTGTTTGTGGTACACTAATTATGCAATCCAATTGAGCAACTAGATATTTTATTTGAATACTCATATGAAAAAGAAAGCTAATATTTTGGGGGGGCATCTTTGACAGATTTGTCTGTTTCTGAGTACAAAGTCGAAGAATGCATGTGTCAGTCATGACCGACCAGAGCAAAGAATCTGTGTGACAGACCAATTATACCCAAGATGCTCCCAAGTTCTCTTTCTTTTCCCTTGGAGTGAGCTAGGTTGCCTTATAGTTGAAAGTTTAAAAATACTGTTTTCTTGGGCATTGGCATAGAAATATAGTATAATTCCTAACTCCAACTTTAGAGGGACCCTTTTTAAAAAAACTACTGCAGTGTAGAGTTATCTGAAACTCTGAATCAAATCAGATGAGATCTGATGATACTGAAATGCCTTTACACCTCCCTGATTGCCTAGGAGATGCCTTGGATGCTCAGAGATCTGGCAATCTCTGACACCACCAGTCAAATGCAACCCTTGAAAAGGGCACTTGAGAATATTTATAGCACTATTTCTTATATTACTAGTATTGACTTTTTAAAAAAATCTTTTCAGGTATGGAGAAGCATTATTTATGAATTCTAAACTTATCAGTGGAGTTACAGAATTTCTTAATACTGAAGGTGAACTCAAAGAGGTAAATATTTCAGATTCTAATTCTTTTCTTTTATAAACATTTGACATTATACATTTACTTCTACTTTTTCTTTCCAACAGATTCCCACCCATTCTTTTGTGTACACATACACATCAAAAACTTTACTCAATTCATTATTTACAAAGGTATTTCTAATATATTCAACACTCAGTGCCTGTAAAAATTTATAGTTTTATCAACTGGACTAGGGAGAAATGTTCACCTATTGAAATAGTCACTTTGTAAGCTAAATATGTGATTGGATGTATAAAAGAAAATGAAATTTAAAAAAGTAAAAAAAAGAGAAATCTTTGTTAAACCAGAGCTTCGAGTGTACTTATAAATTCTGTTCACTACTTTGGCTATAAGAAACATTGCTGTGATTATTTTATCATTGCAAGATTTTGGTCTACCTGAAGGTATAGGTTTAACGTGGTTGAATCTCTCATGGCTAACTGAGGTTCGAATCCCAGACTTGGTGGCTTGAAAACACAGCAGTGCATGTGCATGTGTCCCAAAATCTGAAGAAGAGCATGGAGCAGAAGAGAATGTGGTGTGGCCATAAACCCCAGGAGGGCTTTCTTGCTCTTCCTCCCACCCTGTCTTCCTGCCAAAAAGAACACATGCCGTATAGCAAAACAAATTTTAAGAAGAAGAAAGATTTTATTTAATTTATAACAATATTAACAACTTATTGAGAAAGAATAAGTGTGAATCTATAGGGATATTTAGTTAATAATACTTGAAATCTACATTTAAGTATATTTCAGTGTACTTTTAATGGGTAAAGGAATAGTATGAAACCTGAAAGTAATAATAAACCTTGTAAGATTTCATAAAATTATTTTCTGTAAATACTCTTTTATTAGGGAAATATGGATGAAGAAATGAAAGAAGTGTATGTTTATTCTAAAAAGAAAAAAAGAGTTTGAATACAGTGATTTCCAAATCTGGCCATGCAAAATTCAGCCCAGAAATGATCCAATGAGCTTATTCTCAGATGTCTCTGTGAACCTAGGATCCACTAACTAACAAAACCATCTTACCCATTGACTCAGTGATTGTATAAAGCACTAGGACTGATGTTGAGTTACAGAATATGAATCTCACTTCTTTGTGGTCACTCCTATACAGACAGTGGACTTGATAACAATACTTCATGTGCTCTGATAAACTATACGTGTGGAGAGGGTCATTGCTGACAATACATAGTGAGATCGATAGCGGGTTTTTTTTAGACTTTTTTGCTATAGGGCACGTGTGCTCACCAGAAAGACATAGAGAGACAGAAAGCGAGAAATCACCTCCTGGGGGAATGGCCACAATGCAATCCCTTCTCCTCCATTCTCTGGGGATCTTGGGTACACATGCACACATGCCCGGCGTGAGTTCAAGCCTTCAGGTCCAGAACTCAAACCGGAGTCAACTACATGGGAGTCCAGTGACATAATAGCCATTACACCAACGGTTGGTCCCGATAGCATGTTTTAAAACTCTACTTGGTACAATCACAAGTGCATTTCATGAATGAAAATAAACTTGATTTATTTTTGTAAATTGTATTCTATTATTTTTACTTTTTATTAATATTGTTTTATGCCACTCAATATCTATCAAAAGCATTTATAGCAGCTACATATCTTGTTGTTTAGACATGAAAAATTTGTTATTAGTTATTAAAGCTGTATCTAATATCCTATTATTATAAATAGCCATTCAGTGAGCACCCTTTATAGCTAAATCTTTGCATGTATTGATAATTTTTTATAATGAGCATTTGGAAGCATAATTGTGAAGTCAGTTATTTAGTAACTCAGTTTGTGTATTTTTTTTAATTTAATTTTATTTTATAATTTATTATTTGTATTTAATCATTATACATCTTTGTAGGGTATAATATGGATTTTCAAGGCATATATGCAGTGTCCAATAATTAAATCGAGGGTAACACCAAATTCATTGTTTTAAACAAAGAACACTACATTGTGATGCGTACAATTAATGTTATAATTAACATGATTGGCAATGTCTGCTTTTCTCAAAAAGGTGTGGTATTCTGTCCCACAAATTATTTGCTCCTTCTACCTGCATTCCTGTGTTCGTTAAATGCTTTTTTCCTAAACCACTGCCATATCTACATGCAGTCTCTGGTATCTACAAAAACTTGATATTTTTAAATGACTAATATCCAGGTTGTAGAGTATTTGGCATTTCTTTATCCTCCGCTTTATTTCTGTTTAACTTTAAAGCAACTAGGGTTGTTTTTTTTTTCTTTGTTGTTCTTGTTGGCTTATTGTTGTTTAAGTATTAACTTACGTCTCTAAGACAGGAGGGATATAAGTTAGAAAGAGATGAGCAGAGAGGAGAAAGGAGCAAAACATAGATTCTTTTCATCATTTACACTGACTTGGGCTTCCCAAGTCTGTTACCTTTTCCTCTGCTGCTCTTCTCCATTGTAAAATGTATCTGATTGTTGGCACTGAGAATTATGATTTCCTCAGTTCTCACCGATGGGATGCCTGATGCTGTGACCCAGAGCTAATTGCACGGAACAGAAATCCCCTCAAAGCATCAACTCTGGCATTGTCTGCAGTGTCTTCTCTTAGTGCTCCGTTTCCTATGGTCATCCCTCATACACTAACTCGGATGATCGCACACCGTGGGCTAAGCTAAGTCTCTGATTGTAGTGATTTGAAATGCAGTCTTTATTCCTGCTACGTGTGATCCCAACCCTGGAGGATTTACTTTTGAAAGCCCCAGTACACTTTTTTCTACATATTTATAAGGGAAAATATAAGGACTTTTTTTTTTCATTTCCATAAGAAACAGAGCAATTCAATTAATGATTGCTTCCAGTTTTCTCTGTATTTAAATGAAGTACTTTTAATTTTATGATTTCACTTTTAATTAGTTGGAAAGAAAAGATTCATTTGGTTACACTTGTGCAGCCTCTGAAATGAGCCTCAGAGTGAAAGATCTACTCCTCTTTCCTTTCCTTTTGGCTCCCTTCATTCTCCCTTCTTATCTCCTTTTGTCTCCTCTTTTATCCTCTGTCCTCTCCATGCCTCTCCTGTTCTCTCTCTGTTCTTCTCTCTTTCCTCTGTCTTTTATATTTGATAATATTCAGACTATGAAAAAAATCTTTTAAATGAACATTATTTGATTTTATCAGACCATTTTGTGTCAGCTATTTCACTTACATATTCATTTTTATACATTTTATTTAATTATCATCTGTTCCCAGGTGCTCCTATCCTGCAAGATACAATTTCAAATTGAAACTGAATTGCGCGTTTATTCCATTATCTACAACGTAGCTAACTTTACAACGCACTCTCAGCGGAGTGAGTGATGAATCCCCTTACCAGATTACTTGCTCTTACTTCCAGTTTAAACAGCTGCTCCAGGGGCTTTCGTATACTTTCATCATCTAATCATTTTCTGTCGACTAGGAACTTTTGCTGTTGGGTGGGGTGGGAGTTTTAATTTGTATTGACAATAACTTCTCTTTCTTAAACAGCGTTGAGGAAAATAGAGTCACATTCTCCCAAAAGTCATGAACCTCACAAGCAGAAAATCCAATGTGTTCCCTTTGGATATGGTAGTCTTGTTTCGAAGGTTTTCTAGATCAAAATGGAATCAGCAACTTTATGAATTTTGAAAACACATCTGCTATAGAGACATTCGATAGAAAAACTTCGATCAATCTGTGGCCCTTCTGAAAACTGCATTCCAGCACCCCAAACTGGAGCTTCCTTTTAGTTACATGACTCTATAGCAATTGGAACAATACTTTTCCATGAGTCAATTCATCATTCCCTTGATTCTAAATTGATGGAGGTACAATCTCACAGAACCCAAGATCCTTGCTCTTATTCCACACTGATGTCCATAAAGTGATCTCATGTGCCTGCTTCTCTGCCTCTTGAACATCATAGACGAAACTGTCATTGAAGAACACACATCCTGTGCATCACAGATAGCCCATTTACAGTTTTGATATTGAAGATATAGACCTCATAATAGGACAGTAGCTAATTCTATTCATTTGAATAGTTACTACAAATGTATTATGCCTTGGAAATTATTCTAAAAATATTTTATGATTTTGGATACTCTGAAATAAGGGATTTTTTTGGGGGGTAAATGCTAGCATATGTTTTTATAGATAAATTAACACACATGCCTAAGAGTTCTATGCTAAGAAGAACAGGGACTACAGACACTGACATTTCACTAAATATTATTCTATAAAAGTGTCTATGCTTGTAACATTTCAAAATAAAAATATGGCATGATATGAATATTTGGGAAATCTAATAAAAAACTAATGGCAGAAGAAAACCTAGCAGAATTGAAAAAATCAGAAAGCTAGGATGTCAAAAATCCTTCCATCAAGCCCAGCCCTCTAGGGTGAGGCAGGGGTCTGAAAGGCTCAGTGGTCATGCTAACTTGAGGGTTAGACAACTGCTTGAGCACATCTTCCCAAAGAGCTTTGGAGGACTATCAGAGATAAGATCAGTTTATGGCAACTGTCAAAAGTGAGACAGGTGTGTTCTGATGAATAGCTACTCTTAAAATGTATATACATGACCTCGACCTCTCTGAGCTCATGAGGGAAGTATTCAATGCACTTAACAGTGATTTAAGAAATTAATCTCTATACCCCCACCAGTCACATTTTCTATTCAGAGTTTTCTTGTATGATAACATGTGCCAATAATACATTCCTATTTGAACACATAGACAGCCTTTAAGGAGGACATAAGAGTTGTACTTCAGGAATGAAGGTTTTTTTTTAAATTTTTTTATTTACATTTTTTGTTTCATTTTCTTTTATACAATCAATCACATTATTAAGCTTACAAAGTGAATATTTCAACAGGTGAACATTTCTCCCTAGTCCAGTTGATAAAACTGTAAAATATCTTCAACAGATAATACCACATTTTTTGTCCCATTGATGCTTTTCCTCCCTATTTTTCTTCTAAATATCCTTCCTCAGACATTACTCTTTCACACACACTACCAGATATAGAGTGTGTGAAGGAATGAGTTTTATTCCACGTGTCCAGGCTTGCTTGCCATCTTGTTAAGATGCCACGAGTGTGCTCTACAGAGCTGAAGTGGTAAAGGGTCATTTATCACTACACGGCATATTCAGTGACTGCTTAGGAAAAAAGATGTCATAGTGTAGAACATATTTAAAAGGAGTAGATGTCATCTTACTTTCCTAAATGGCATATATATATATATGTAAATAATTTGACTGTAATGTCATATGTTTGCAGTAAGTTAAAGTATGATACTTAAAACAGATCAATTTGTATTATTTGTTGCTCTGTATGCACAGAGACTGATTGAGCCTGGTCATAAATATATAAATATAAATGCATTATTATATTACGCAGCTAAAGTTTAAAATTATGATTCAGATATATCCGTGAGACTTCCCTTCATGTCTGTGTGTATGTCACACACTCACATCCGTGGCACAGTGTCTGGAATGCTGGAAATAAGTCATTTTCTTTTCACCTTTTTCTTAACGTGCATTCATTTGGTCAAGTGCCAAATCAGTTTTAGGATGGCACTGATAATTTTTTGCTAAGGATTGGTATTTTGCATGTTTGCTACCAAAAGATTATGATTGTGAAGTCCTGGAAAGGAGATAGCCCTGAGATAGGGTTTAGGGTTTTCCATGGGTAATGATGCCAGGTAAAGGGCTTTGGAAGAAAGTAGACAAAAAGCTTTGAGAAAACCCACAAGTATCATGTAATCCAAGTAACACCATCATAAACCAAAGTATCCATGAACTAATTCCCAAATTAATTCAGAAACGTATAATGAACTGCATTTTACACACTCCCTTCCCCCATTTCTCCTTGTCCCTGAGCCAATCCTGACACAGCATATTTCCCTCCTGGTGTATCTTCCATGTGGCACCCGCCATGTGATGCAGCACATCCCACACTAATTACCCCACATAAAGTTTGTGTGTTGCAAGTTGATTTTTCACATTTGTCTATTAGCTTTGCATTTGTTGGTTGGTTGCCAGTTTCTTAAGATATACCAAAAGGAAAGAAACATTTAATCTTGAAATAAAATCCCTGAGTGTTCCCGGGATAAGGGAACTCTAAATAAAACCTTATGTCAATAAAAATTATGTCCAAATATTTAAAATTCATAATTTTCCTGCTTCAATGCTCTCGCTAAACGAAACCATTTTTCTATTTCCTTCTTTCATTCTTTGTGAATGTAGTTACTTAGGAGATGGCAATGTCATTCATTTTTCAGTTTTTATAGTAATGTTACTTTTTCCACCTTATCATAATTTTGGTAAGCTCTTGATTTCAAAAACAGTGTTAATCTCTATACTAGTATTTGGAGATGAAGAATAATTCTCACTCTACAAACAATCACCTTTAATGCATGATTTCAGTTCTTACTGCTATCTCATGTGTAGAAGATGCCTTGGAGTTAGAATTAGTTTGCATATCCCTTCAACCTATTTTGAAAGATAAATTAAGGAGTCAGCAGTGGCATGGTGGTTAAGGCACTGGACTCCCACATGGCCAACTGTGTTTCAAGTTCTGGATGTGGTAGCTTGAAATTCATGCCAGACACATGTGCATGTATACCCAAAGTTCCAGGAGGAGAGAGTGGATTAGAAGAGATTGTGGCATGGCCTTCCTCCCTGAGGGCTGATTTCTCACTTTCTTTTATCACTATGTTTCTTTTTCTTTCTTCTTTCTTTTTTTGGAGAGGTTTTTTTTGTTTTGTTTTGTTTTAGGGCGTGTGCGCTCGCCAGACAGACAGAGAGAGACAGAGAGAGACAGAGAGACAGAAAACGAGAAATCACCCCCCAGGGCAGATGGCCATGCCACAATCCCTTCTCCTCCAGTCTCCTCTTGGGATCTTGGGCATGCACGCACACGTGCCTGGTGTGAGTTTTAAGTCACTGGGTCTGGGACATGAACCACGGTCGACTACATGGGAGTCCAGCAACATAGCCATTACGCTAACAGCTGGTCTCTCTTTTCCTTTCTTTCTTATTTTTTCTTTCCTCTCTCTGTTTCTCTTTCCAGTGAGCACATATGCCCTATAAAAAAAAAAAAAAAAAAAAAAAAAAAAAAAGAAAAGAAAAAAGAAAAAAGAGCAAGGACTAACTTAAATGTTTTAATACCTTTTATGAAACAAGAAGCCAAATTTGAAGTCATTTAAATTGTAATAGCAACTCTTTTTTTTCTTTCTGTTCCAAAGTCAATTATATCATACCTAATTAACATAATCTGTTATATTTTATTTCATTACCCACTCACTCTACAGTATTAAATCTACCTTCTATGGTAATTGTGGTACATTGTTTCAAATACATTCTCATCCACATACAAGTTCATTTAAAGGCATATAGATTTACTATGTAAAAATATCTATTTCCAGCTGAAGAACTTCATGAAGAACTATGATGGGGTGGCTGCCGCTTCTTTCTCACGAGCTGTGGAAACTGTTGAAGCCAATGTGCGCTGGAAGATGCTTTATCAAGATGAGCTTTTCCAATGGTTAGGAAAAGCTCTGAGACACTAAAATGTTTCTTTCACAAACAGTTCAACTCAGAAGTATTTGAGAAGACCTTCTTTATATGGAATGAGGAAAATGTGCTCCATGGAAAATGGCCAGAACTTCAGTGTTAACGTGTGGGAGGAATTTTTTTTCTAATTTTTATTGTTGCAGGGAATATTTGGGGAGATTTTGTTCATTTCATTCATTCTGTTTTGTTTCTCTACTACTGGGTGTCCTTTAAAGAAACTTTTGAAGTGAAACTAGCCATGATTGCTTCCTCTGTACATCCCTTGCTGTACAGGACCAAATATGATAGTGGTGCATGTCAATGTTGCAGTTTGGAAAAACATATTCAGAATATTCTGTGCATGGATGTGTGGTCCTGCCTGTGCTCCAGCATGCTTACTTAAAATGTCCAATGTTGTATGTGCATATGTGTTACATCAGGATGGGCATTATGCAAAAGCACAAAGATTTATGACAATCAGTGTTGTAATGAGAGAAAATCTAAAAAAAGGAATTATATTCTCAGTCCTGGGCAAACAAGAGATAAATAGCCCCGTTAAGTGATCAACTTCACTTATTTTAGCACTTAGATTGTCAGACAATGATTACTGTGTTGCTAACTCATTTTCTTAGAGTTAAAGCTGTGTGTATAATTAAAAAGGCATGTAGATAGTGTATGCATATGTATATGTACATAGGGAAGCCCCCATGTGTGCATAGTATGTTGTACACTACACATGTGCAAAGAATCTCTTCAGAACAAAGAAAATTTATCTCTTTTTGTAAACTTACAAACACTTGGAAAAGGCTTAAAGGAATTTATCTCAACGGTATGCTTCCTACTTCCTTACTAAATTTCTGTTAAGAATTTTTCACCTACTTCCTGAACAGTGGTCTATTCTACTACATGAAGATGAATTCAAACAAAATGTATTTGTAACTAGCCACACTTTTAATTCTTTTAAGTGACAACCTCACAGATTCTGTCATCAGTGTAGACCACCTTTCTATTGCATAAAGCAGTTGTGTAAACTTAAAATTATTAGTGCTGAGAAAGTATGTATTTTTGCATCTTGTTTGTTTTCCCATCTTATGTTGGGTGGTCCAGAGAGTTAAAAATTCTTTCTGCATGTTGGTTTTTCTGTCTGTGTTGTTCTACTCTCTATTAAGCAATCATACCTCAAGAGGCTCTAGTAGCATTTGATGACCTTTCACGTCAGTTGTGCCATCCTTAAGATGAAAAATTAATTTTTTTTGTGTTAATGTACAAAGCTTTTCTTTTGTTATTGACAACTCTGTTCTACATGGGATTTCTGAATAGTCATTCTCATGGGTGTGTATTACAAGTGTTATATTAAATGGCATTCTCACCCAGTAGGCCAGCTCTTCTAACATTGCTTAGATGCTCCAGAATGAACGTATTTTAAGTTTAGCATTCTAAAATACCAATACAACTACTGTACATAAACCAAATTTTTGTAGACCACTTCCTATTTTCCTGAGATTTTTCTCTTCCTCCAAATCTTGCAGATTTTTGAAATGCACATTGAGTTATCTGAAAAGTCATGATGTGTTTTTGCATAGAAAGATAGAAAAATACACCATAACTTGTCCGACAACCCAATCTACTCTGCCACTAATAGTCACTGAATACTGAAAACCAATTTAACATTTTAGAAACCAGCGCCATAGAATTATTTTAAGATTATAGAAAAGAGGAAGTTTTCTGATTTTCTAATAGAATAAGTACCAGGTAAAACTGAATTTTATCATTTAAGCAATTAATACCTATTATAACTCAGTTTTCAGCACTTCACTCAATTAAAATACATGAATTTCAAATATTCCATGTGGTGTTAATAAGGCATGATAATACTTAGTAGAATATCTAAAAGGTATACCACCTACAGAAGTGATAAAATTCAGTTATTACACATTGCATTTATGAAACGCTTTTTTTAAAAAATTGCTTTCTATTATAATTGCTGATTTACATTTAATCATTGTACATATTTGTGAAATACAGTACAGTTTTTCAAAGCATGCATACAGTGTGTGATAATCAAATCAAGGGGTGAATTCTGAAACATAACAATAATAAATTCACATTGCCATGCAGGTCCCAAACATGCGTTCTGTCACCACTGAATTCCTACAATAGAAAAGATTTCAAAGTAGAGGTGAATGTCTTGTTTTGTGTCGTGAATTACTAAAAATCCTTAGTAATTGTGGAATTTATTTTGAATGAAATCACCATTTTTAGATTTTAGTTAGAAGGGCTTTCGTAGTTCTTTTTTCCTCCCCACTGTTAATAATCGTAATCCTCTTTCAGTATTTTAGTGGCCTTGAAAACTGGTTTAGCTACAATATCAGATCCTGAGTGTATAATTATGTGCAATGTTCAATACCTCATATAATACTTGTTCAACAGTATGTCGTGGTATCAATAGCATTGGGATGGCATTTTTGTTTTACATGTTTTTCAGTAATTTATCCTTTTCAATGTTGAGATTATATCAGGCTTTAACTTTTTTAGTTGTTTAAATAAGTAATATTTTCAGAATAATAAAATAACTAATGATATCTCTTGGAATATTCTGTAAAATGTAGTTATAAAAATTCTATTTTCTACTTAGAGTTTTTATCTTTTCTCTCTTCTTTGTCTATTTTACAGCTCATATCTATGCATGAAATTACCAATGTTTGAAAATGTCCACCATCTACTCTTAAAAATTTACTGTGCCAACATGTGTACAAAGGCAAAACTTAGTTTCAATTAGAAAGGACTAAATTTTTACCATGCTGAGTATTAAATATCTCCAGGTGACTTGTAAATAAAAAGTTTTCTTCATTTTTGCACATTTTTTCCTTAAGATTTTCTTATGTATTTGAAGTGTTAAAAATATACAATCTCAAACTCTAAAGCTAATATCGACAATGTTAAGTCTATCCTTCAGTTTCAAAAACATCTACTTTAGCTGGGTCTTGAACTCACCTGGGTTTATATTATTCCCAGGATAATGATATCATAGGACTGAGTTTTCTCATGGTAGTACAACATACAAATATTATAACTGTAGTACCTTACAAGGTTACTAATGCTATGGATATATTATAAAGTGCATTTCACTTTCAAAGAACTTTAACACTTGCTTTTAATTTAACTCCTAACAAAAACATAACAAAAGCCCTGATATTATGATGAGGAAACTGATTCTCAGAGGAGCAACAAGAGCTATTTAAAATTTTATAGTTGTTTATTTGGAACATATACAATAGCTTCTCAGTGCAGCCTCCCTCTAACTAAATTATATGTTTAAAATATCTCTATTTATTGACTAGGCTGGAGTTTTTCAAATACTGGACTAGCATCAAAATACAAGATTCAATTTGTAATGATTACATTATTTTTTCAACTCCTGTGTTTCTAATTTGCATGCTATCGAACAACTAGATGAAAATTTTATTCAGCATTTAGTTTGGTCAGCCTAAGTAGTTCAATATTGTAACAAAGAAATTAGAATATTGATTATGGTTTTCTTTATATATCTTTATTAAACATTTCTTAATTATAACCTTAAAATACAATAATTTGCTTTACTTATAAAAAATACTCTCTAATAAATTCTATCTTTTGTAACAGATAGTGAGAATGCAGATAAGTGGTGTCCATTTAAATAAGTAGAAATATTTCTTTTTACATACAATCACTGTGTAGCATTACAGCATACCAAATGAATTTTCCCATCATGAATATACTGAATATTGGTTCACTCAAAGAATAAACAATTAAAAATAATAAATAAATAAGTGGAAGTAATATTCAGCAAAATGTTTGTAAATTTATAAAACCTTTGGAGAAAACAGTTTTTGTGAAAACTGTACTAATCAAGTAGATGCAGTGATTCTTTTTTTTTTTTTTTTTTTTGTAAATTTATACAACCTTTGGAGAAAAAAACAGTTTTTGTGAAAACTGTACTAATCAATTAGATGCAGTGATTCTTTTTTTTTTTTTTTTTTAAGATATTTTTGCTATAGGGCATGTGTGCTCACAGGGAGACAGAGAGAAGCAAAGACACAAAAAATGAGAAATCACTCCCCCAGGGTGTCTGGCTATATCAAAGAAGTTGGAGAGCCTCAAATAGCTCAATTATTCTGAGTAATTATATATACCTATTAGGCAATCATATATACCTATTAAAGAAAAAGTAAAAGGTAATCATATATACTGATTAAAGAAGGAATAATAGCTCATTTAATGATAAATTAAGATCTCTACAATTATGTTTTCTTTTATTAGATTAATAGCTGACAAAATTTAATTCATTTAAATAAATATTTATGGAGCACCTTTTATTTAGTGAGGGAAAGGAAGGCAGAGTAAAGGGACTCACATCACAATAAATGAAAAAATAATAAATCACTCAGAATAAGGGCAACATGGAAAATAATTACATGATACAAAAGAGGAAGTAAGTCATTTTTAGATATAGAAACTATTATAAGACTATTTTTGTAGCCTAGTTCTCAAAACATTTATGATACTTCAGTTAATTTTAATTTGATTCCATAGTGCTTAACTATTTTACAGAAATATGTAACACTTTGAAATTATAGTAAAATTGTAGAGTTGAACCTGTAATAATTATAATATAAATGGGATAGAATTTCTCCTTAAGAAAAGTTGTTTGAATAATTTAGCAATATCAGTAAGTTGCAGAAAGAATATTTAATCTACTTATGAAAAAGTAACTCAAGTTTTCTAAAATGGTTTTAGCACACTATTTGTATATTCACAATGTGTTAATTTTAAGTTAATCATACATTAATTTTTTCTGACTTATTTTAAAATTTCTTCCTTGCATTTAATGGTCGTACATTTTTGTGAGACACATCCTGGATTTTCAAAGAATCATACATTCTTTAAAGCAGGTTCAAAAATACTTATCCTAGGCAGTAATTTATTTGTTCAAATTAGTATGTGTGAACATTTTTTATTTTTAAAAATTCTTTTACTCTTCTAAGTATTTAAATTTTTACATTAATTCAGTTATTTAGTATTATAATAAAGCATTATTAAACCAAGATTAATAAAATTTAGACAAACAAAATTAGTATGGAAAACAAGAAGTTTCCTTGCCTCGTTATTCTTGACTCTGTATCAATACATATGCATAAATATTTTTGTAGTTTTAACTTTATATCTATTTTATTGTTTAAAATATTAGTCTTATAATTATTTTGAAATAAGATATATAGCCTTAGAAAATTCAAGCCAAGTATTTTACATGAGTGAAAAATAATTATGAAGTTGATGAGAATTTTTGGATGATTTTTTAAATTTTTTAAAAATAATTTATTTTATACATTTGATCACTGTACATCACTTAGTTTGTGAGTTGAATGTACCCAACACGAATACACTTCACACCATTCCAGTTGAGGATACAAAACATAATCAACAGATAATAATCCATTCCTGTGTAGTATAAATGTCTTGCCTCTCCATTTTCCTCAATTTCTTTTCTTACACCCGCCCCTCTTCCCACATTGTCTCCAGTTTCTATAATCATTTTCAATGCTTCTATGTCCTCTAATCTTTCAGTTTCCACTGTACAATGTGGATACTTGATATATGTTAAGTGAAGACATACAATGGCTCTCTTTCTTAGCCTGGCTTGCTTCACTCAGCAGTAAATCTTCATATTCATCAACTTTCTATCAAATGCCAGAGTCTTGTTTCTATGGCTGAGTAGTATCTCATATAGTATATGAGCCACACTTTTCCAATCCATTCTTCTGTTCGTGGACATCTGGATTAATTCCATGTCTTAGCGATTGTGAATATGCTGCAAACTTAATTGCAAAAATGTCCTTGTAAATTATTTGGAATTCCAAACTTTGATTACATAAGAGTAGACTTCAATTCAGTTGCTTTAATTTTTTTTGCTTATTTTTAAATAAAAATTTTGTTTACTGTGGTATAGATTTAGGGAAAGTAAAGTGTTATCTAATAGATTTTATTTTTACTTTTATTTTTAGCTTAGGTAAGTTTTAAAACTGTCTTATATACTTCATAAAACCAGTTGTTGAAAATTGTTTTAATGTTAAGTATATGCACGTGTCATTGAATGCATTTTATTTTATTTATTTATTTTAATGTGCAGGAGAATGTGTGCATTTCCCAGGCAGGGGGAGAGAGGTGTGTGCAAGAAAGTGGGAAAACACTCTCGTGGAGGATGGTCATGCTGCAATCACTTCTTCAGCACACATGCACATTAGCCCAGTGTGGTTTTCAAACCAAGCGGTCCAAGATTCATTTCAACACTATGGAGTTGACCATGTGGGTTTTGGTCACCTTGACTACTATGCCACTG